GAGTAAGGAAGAGTGAATAAGAAAATTAAAGAAAGACAAAATACAAAAATGTATAAATGTAATTTCTGTGAGAGAGGTTTTTCACGAAGAGAGAGTCTTACACAACATTTTAATCAACTCCATCTATACTTCCAACAGTCACGAACACTAAATTGGGTACAAGATCAATGATATGCGTACCAAAAACCACCTTGATCTTCAGACAATCTTGCTGAGACTGAGGCGAATAATTTATTACCAATAGATGATCAAAATCTGTTACCATCGCAAATTTCAAGTTTTGGAAATGATGAAAGGATCGAAATCGATGATGATGATGAAAGGATCGATGATGTTGATGGTGATGATGGTAAAAGGATTAAAGACGATGATGATGAAAGAATCGAAGATGTTGATGGTGATGATGATGAAAGGATCGAAGATGTTGATGGTGATGATGGTGAAAGGATCAAAGACGACGATGATGAAAGGATCGAAGATGTTAATGGTGATGATGGTGAAAGGATCGAAGGCGATGATGATGAAAGGATCGAAGATGGTAATGGCAATAATGGTGAAATGATCGATGAGGATGAAAGTATCGATGATGATGATAATGAATTATCAAATAATAGTGATAAAAGTGAAAATTCTTCTGGTAATATTGACGATTTTTACAATGGAAGTTATATTGCTGCACTTGATGATTTAAATGGCAATAATAAACAAGAAACTGTTACATGGCCAAGTCAGACATATAAAGAATTTATGATAGCAATAACACAGTATCGTATTTCAGATGCAGCAGGTGATGCAATGTTACAAATAATAAAAAAGAATTGTACTGAACCACTACCTGCTTCTACACGAAAGGGACGATTGTATATGGATACAATGAATATTAAAGGTCTTCATCTAAAAACATAAGATCTCGTTGAATTTGAAGGAATAACTTATAATTATTGTATATGTTCTATGTAAGCACTGGACATTTTTCACGTATGTTATTGATCACTTTATAATAGTGATACATAAATTTTGGTCACTTTATAATTAGTGATATACAAAATTTTGATCACATTATTATAAAATAATAAATAAAATACGCGAAAAAGGTCTCAGTTGCTTTACGTCATACATATCCAATAACTTTATTATCAGTCATATTTATGATAACTGATTTACACTAGGATGCTACTCTATCATGTGGCCTTCGGCCATATGATATACATAGCAATCCTAGTGGTAAATCAGTTATCATCTACAACATGACCGATAACAATTATGTATTAGTTATTTACTAATCTAGTAGTATATAAATAGGTTATCATCTGAAGGATGATGGCCTATTTATATACTAAATTAGATCAGTAAATAACTTTTTTATCATCCTGGATATACTAATTGGTCCGCCAGTTTATAACTGGCGGAAAAAATCCTAAATACCAATTAGTAGCCAGGTGATAAATTACATTATCGCCCTATCATTGATGCAATAAAAAGTCTTATATCTAATCAAGAATTATGTAAAGAATTTTTTCTTGATTATAAGGAAGAGTGGGAATCTCGTGGTGTATGTATAAAATTTTAACAATGACTATTTTTATAATAAATAATTAATAATTGATATTTTATTTAATAAGGACGGAACAGGACCCCGAAAAATACATATGGAGGTCATAAATGATCGGCAAGATTTTGGCCTAAAATAAGCAACTTTTCAGGGCCGGAATTATGATAATGCTGGTCAGTAACAAAACGGACAATAAAATTAAGGCCGGCACTATCTAAAAAAGGCAAGATTTTCATGAAAATTTAGGTTCTTTTTAAGCAAACTCAAATGTGACCTTTTTATGTATTTTTCGGGGTCCTGACGGAACGTTAATGTGAGTATATTCAGAACAAAATACTGCAAAATGGTGGCGTGAAAGAGAATCACCTTTTAGTAAAATTCTTGCAGTAATGTTATACATTGATGGTACTACACTTGATACATATGGGCGACATTCTAAATACCCAGTATTTTTAACGCTTGCTAATATTTTTAATTGGCGCCAGAATTTGCCTGATGCAAAGGTTTTTGTTTGCTTTTTACCACAATTGAGTACTAAAGATGGTAAACTTTGAGAATCTAAGAAATTTAAACAATACAAGCGAAATTTGGAACAACGTGCTCTGAAATATTTGCTAAGCCCACTTCTTCAGAAAGAAGACATCTACTTGGCAATAAATGGAAAAGTAGAACATTTTATTCCACATATATCTACTATATTAGCTGATATGTTAGAGGCACAAAGTATTTGCTATACTTACAAATAAATCATATTGTACAACATGTCCTTGCTACAAATGTCTTATACCGGGAGACCAATTAAATAATATGCATGTTAATGTAAATTCTATCATTTTACGAATCCATAAAAATATGAGTGCAGTTGTTTTATCATATGATGCCGCAAAATATTCCATTCATGAATATGAAAACTTTTTCTGGAAATTTAGGTAAAATATTAAATAATTAATTTATATTTGATTTAAAAAATAATCCTATCTAAATTAATATAATTTATTTACTTTAGAATGATGAATATTTATGATGTAGTGGCATTAGACCGTATGCATCTGCAAGAAATTGGTTTATTTCCATATATGCTTGACTTTACAAGAGAAATGATTATGTATTAATCTGGTAATCAAATTATTACCAAAATGGATGTTCAGTTAGCCACTATTACGCCATTTAGTGAATTAAGAATATTGCATAATGGATATCAACAAGGGGCAAAATAGTGGCAAAATTTACTGGAGTAGAAATGCGTGATGTTATGAAAATAATTATATTTGTACTAGATGAGCTTTATACAAATAATGATATAATTAGACATCGAAATGATACAGAAAATACGTTACATGAGTTCGTTGATTGTAAAAAATTAATTCAATGTTTTATAAAATTTGTTAAAATGTATATAACATCTAGAAAAGAAAAACTTAATGAAGATGAATTTAATGAGTTTGAGGTAATTCTTTAATTATCATTAAGTTGTAATTTAATTTATTTAATTTATTTAATCTCAGTTTCTCTTATATTGATATAGCAAGAAATTATTAGATGGTCAGATGATTTTGTCAAATTATTTAAGACATTTTCACGAAGTGAACTTCGCCTACCAAAACTTTACATGTGGCGATATCATACTATTCAAACTATTAAACATTATGGTGCAATTAATGGACTAACGACTGAAACCTATGAAACATTACATAAGAATTGGGTTAAAAACCCATATAGAATATCTAATAAAAAGAATGTTCTTGATCAAATCATTAAAACTGTAAGTTATAATAATTATTTTATATATTTTTATTTATTGTTTTTAATGTCAAAAAATAAAATGGTTTTTATATTTAGATTCGTTGGCAAATAATTACAACTAATGAATTAAAAAAACCAACTATGTTAAAGTTAGATTGTATGCGATCTTTATTATGGAAACTATTTATTAGTGAATTGGATAATCTTGAACAAAAATTAAAGCATGAAAAAGATATAGATAGTTTATGTATTGAAGGAATACAAAATTTAATTTATTGTCTAGATGCATTTTTAGATGAAAAATCAAATATTTCATCTGGAATATTAACAAATGGCGAAATAGTATATGGGGACGCCCGTAGCAAAAAGGGGGGATAGGCCAAAAAATTCAAATTTGAGATTTTATTATAATTATATGTCTATTAGTCTAATTATTAAGAAAATATGGGTTTTTATTAATAATATATTAGTAAAAAAGTTTAATTTTGAAATTTTCTTATTATTTGCATTTTACTTTTATAGAATTAACAAGCAACATAAACTTATTAAAAAAAAATCAATACTCTTAGTAAATTGCCTGTAAAATTTAGTTTTAGATAAAAAAAAAAAAGGTCCAAAAGTCAATTTATTTCACAATTAAGTGATGATCTGCCAAATTTATCACGTGATTTAAATTGCGATTTTTTTAAAATTACGGAATTATCCCATTCCCCCCTTTTGCTACGGGCGTCCCCATATGCAACTAGTAGATTTTATGGACAACCTAAATTTAGTGATATTGCAATTGCAATGGATGATGCTGATTATTTAACAGACAATGGAATATATTATGGAAAAGTAAGTTATATTAAAATTTATATTTTTTTAATTTTATATTTTTACTTTTAACTGAAGTTTACTAATTACTATGATATTTGTCATTATAATTATTATAAATTTAGATTTTAATGTTAGCTGAAATTATATTATCTTCTTCAACTTTACCAATTGCACTAATACATTGGTATGATTATTATTCTAAATGATATCCTAAAAAGTATGAGTGTCCACACTTAAAATTTGTAAATAGTTATGATGTAGTTCCCTTTAATTCAATTGTAAGATTAGTACATATAGTAAAACGTTTTAATTATCAAAATGAATTTTTTGTAAATAAATTCTACTTTTAATAAATATTACTTTATTAATTACTATAACTCTATAAGTAAAATATATAATATTATTTAAAATTAATAATTAGTAATTAAAGATTTATTTAATAAAAGTTTTTTAAAAATCCTTAAGGATTCTTATAAATAATATTTCTAAAAATCCTTAAGGATAAAACATTTAAAAATCCTTAAGGAATCTATTATTTTATAGGATCCCTAAAGATCTTTAAAAATTATTAAAGAATCCTTAAAGATTTTATAAATTTAAAAATCTTTAAGGATTCTTTAATAATTTTAGAAATCTCTAAGGATCCTAATACTAAAAAACTTACTGATGAACATTCTGATTATTTTATTTTTTAATAAAACATTTTTTAACATTTTGTAATAAATATTTTTTTTTTATTTTTTTTTTAATTAGAATGTTAGCTAATGTTCTGATTTACATTTTTATTTCTTTTTTAACAAACCATTTTTTAACATTTTGTAAATAATTTTTTCTCTTTTTTTTAATTAGAACGTTAGCTAATGTTCTGATTTTTTTTTATTTTACTTTTTAACAAAACGTCAAAAAATATTTTAAAAGTATTTTTTTCATTTTTTTTTAATAAAATAATAAAAATGTTGGAAATATAATTAATGTTTCATTTTCCTTTTTTTTTTAAGTCAACTTCCTAGATAATTCAAGAACGAGATTTCAAAGGTATTCTTTGAAATTTTTTTTTCTTTTTGTAGGTATTAGAATTTTGAATAGTATGGTAAGTTTTGTGACATTTGTTGTGAAACTTTAATTTTTTTATTTTTAAAGAAACGTTAACTAACGCTAACATTTTTTTCTTTTTCTTTTTATAGATATTGAACTTCAGGTATAATGGTAAGTTTTGCAACGTCCATTATAAAACTTTTTTTTTATTTTTAAAGAAATGTTAACTAACGTTAATGTTTCTTTCTTTTTCTTTTTATAGATCTATAGGTTTTCTGATAGTGAAGTTAGAAATAAAATAATCCTTTTTCTTTCACTACTTTTCATTTTTCCTTTTCATTATTTTTTTCTTTCTCTTTTCGTTCTATTTTTCCTTTTCCTTTCATTTTCCTTTTCCCTTTTCATTTTTTCTTTTCCCTTTTATTCTTTTCTTTCCCTTTTCATTCTTCTCTTCTCTTTTCATTTTCCTCTTTTTATTTCATTTTTCTATTTCCTAAATGGTAAGTTTTAAATGTTCACTTTAAAACTTTTTTTTAATTTTATTTTTTAATTTTTATGAGAGAACATTTTTAACGTTTCCTTTTTTTTTATGTAGGAATTTCAGTAACTTTAGAAACTTGAAAATGAAAAATAAGTTTTGAAGCTTTTATTATAAAAATATTTTTTTTTTTGTAAATCTTTCTGTATTTTTGACTATAGAAAATGAGAAAACAAAATGGTAAGTTTGAAAGCATTCACTTCAAAACTTTTTAAAAATTTTTTTTTTATTTTTTTTTTTGTTAAGAAACATTTTTAATGTTTCCTTTCCTTTTTTTTTATGTAAGATTTATGGTATTTGACTGAAACGATAAGTTTTTATCATTATTTTTTTATTACTTTTAGGAAATATTTACTAACATTTTCTTTTTTTTTTTGTAGGTTCAGGAATATCTGGTGTTGAATAAGAATTCTAAAATGGTATATTTCATTATATTTTATTACAAAACTTTCTTTTTTTATTTTTTTTTTCTTTAAAAACATTCTAACTAAATGTTTATCTTTTTTTTTATAGGTTCAAGAATATGGTTTTAAATATGAATCATGAAATGGTAAGTTTTATTTACTACGAAACTTCTGTTATTTTTTTTTATTTTGTTTTAATTAGAAAATGTTTACTGATATTTCATATTTCCTTTTTCTTTTATTTAGGTTTTAGAAATTTATATCTTGGTTAATTTTTAATTCAGCTATTTCAAATTCAGAAATTTAGATTTGGTAAATTTTGTGAAACATTTTTTTTATTTTTTTTTAATATAAATATTTGCTAATGTTTTTTTATTATTTTTTGTAGATTTAAGCTCATCTTCAACTGAAAACTTGAAATGGTAAGTTTCATCATAAAATTATATATATATATTTTAATAAAAACATTTCTAACATTTTCTTTTTCTTTCTTATAGGTTCCAGGGATTTTGAGTTAGCTGGAAACTTAGAATTAGTAAATTTTTTTTATTATGAAATATATCTTATTTTTTATTTTTTTAAAAAGCATTTATTAACGTTTTCTTTTTTTATTTTATAGGATCCATCCAGTATTTTACTTTAAAAAATGGTAAATTTTGCAATCTTTCATTATGAAACTTAAATTTATTGCTTTTTTTTAGAAAATGTTTACAATGTTTCTTTTTTTTTTATAGGTTTGGATCAGATTGTGTAAGTTTCATTAATAAAACTTTTATTTGTGTTTTTTTTAATTTGAAACTCACTTTATTATTATTGTATTACTAGGAGTGCTTTGTTAATAGAAATTTAATATGTTGATTGTTTAAAAATCTGTGGCAATCCAATTATAATAAAAGGAATTAATTTAATTAATTTTTATTAATAGATAATATATATTTTATATTGTACTATATTTATACTATATTTTACAATTAATATAATTAATGAAATTTTAAATATGTTAATAATTAATAAGTAATTGTTATCAGTCATGTTGTAGATGATAACTGATAATAAAGTTATTGGATATGTATGACGTAAAGCAACTGAGACCTTTTTCGCGTATCTTATTTATTATTTTATAATAATGTGATCAAAATTTTGTATATCACTAATTATAAAGTGACCAAAATTTGTGTATCACTACGTAACTTTTATATAAATCGAACAATATTTTTCATCATTTTGAAAGAAAGTTCTACTTTATTTACTAATTTTACTATTTTTCTGTTTATTAAAATCTCTATAAAGAATGAAACGATCTGGAAAAAAAAGTGTTAAAAAAAGTCGTCAAGAGTCTCACAAACAAACTTCTTCACAGGAATTTGTCAGTTCTGATTTCCCCAAACAAACGTCGATATTGAAACAGGAATCTGCAGCTTCCGGTTCTAGTTCTATCAAAACTCAAAAACAAGCGTCAAAACAGGAATCTACAGCTTCCGGTTCCAGTTCTATCAAAACTCAAAAATAAGCATCGAAACAGGAATCCGCAGCTTCCGGTTCTAATTCTACCAAAACTCAAAAACAAACGTCGAAACAAGAATCTGCAGCTTCTGGTTTCAGTTTTACTAAAACTCAAAAATAAATGTCGAAACAGGAATCCACAGCTTTCGGTTCCAGTTCTACTAAAACTCAAAAATAAACGTCAATATCGAAATAACAATCCGCAGCTTCTGGTTCTAGTTTTACCAAAACTCAAAAACAAACGTCGATACCAGAAGCTTCAGAAGATAATGAGCCATTTCGCTTAGTGATACCATCTAGCTTATACTCGCAACAAAGCAGAATAGTACCACCAATTCATAATGTAACCGTACATAGGGAATTAACGCCTATTACACGTACAGCCAAACCGTATAGGAGCAATGTACATAAGGAATTAACACTCATTACACGCACCACTGAACCATATAGGAGCAATGTACGCATCGCCAAACCGTATAGGAGCAATGTACGCACTGCCGAACCATATAGGAGAGAATTAACGCCAATTATACGTGAACCTTATAGTAGTAATTGGACTAGAGATGTAAATGGTGAGCTACAATTGACTTTTGTATTCATTTTAGAGTTCTGGTCGACTTTAACATTTTTTTAGAAACGTATGATCTCTGAGAAGAAAATGCCTACTTACGGGAAAGAATTGACGAATTACCGTAAAGCACTGACTAAACTACCCTCTATGTAAACTACCCCCTATAGTTTTGGGACAAAATTTTGTAAGAAACCCAGGTATTTTACATAGTTAATTTTTTTTTTGAACTGGAAATAGCCGATTTACTTGTATTTATTAAACCTTTTATTTATTTATATATAAACGTATTTTTATTAATTTGATTTATCTTTACAACTATTAAAATTCATCCCAGTTATTGTAATCATCTTCACCATCCTCCAAAACACGCTACAAATACTTTTTATACCGTGTAAGCATATTTGATCAACATAGTGCAACTGTGCAAGATACCCCTCTATACAAAATACCCTCCTGATTAAACTACCCGGGTATTTTGCAAATACGGGGGTGAATTTGTAAAAAACCCAGGGTAGTTTAGTCAGTGCTCTACGGTAAATTGGCAATTCGATAATGCAAATAGCAAGTTGCGTGACCTACGGCTAGACGTTGGCCAATTACAATCGTATAACAATATACTTAGTCAGAAAAATGACAACTTGCATCACCGACATTCATCTGACCTTCAAGATATCGAATTTGAAGAGGATCAATGACCAACAAAGCGTAGGAAAGGAAAAAATCTTGTGCGCGATTCAAAAGATGAAATGGAAGTAGATGAAGAAAAAGCTAGAGTTCGTCCAAAAATCCTCTTTCAATGTATGCTTTTAACGCTCACTAAACCGATATTTTGTACAATTTAGACCAAGATGAAGACGATTCTAAAAACTTTTCTGATTGAACTAGAATTAAAATATGATGAAAAGTTTACCAGTAAGTCGAATGATGAAATTCTTTGACAAGTTATACCTCGACTAATTGAAGCGATGAAGCCAAGATATATTCCACGATACAGGCAAGTCAAGTCTTGGCTCTCTGCTTTACATAAATATCGCAGAGTGTGCTTGTTATATAAATAACGCAGCACTTTAGACAAAGATAATTGCCATTTACATTGAAACAATCGGTTAAATGAGGTAAATAATTTCTTTATTATTTCAAAAAAAAATCTTATCATTCGTTAAACTTTAAATATAGAAAAAGGCACGTCAAGTTAAAGGCGCAAAATCACTTTTCAACAAAAATGACGAAAAACTGGAGAATTATGATTGAAAAGAACTTTTGAATGTTTTAAGTGACGACCGATATCACTTTCCAGAGTATTTTGAATCGGATGAGAAGCAACCAGACGGTAAAAGACATATCAATGTTTATAATCTGTCTTGGAGATCTGAAGAGGTTTGATAACTTATTTGTCGCATTTTTTATTTTTTATTTTTTATTTGTTTTATTTTTTTCGTAATAGGATTGATTTTTTTCTAATAATAGTTAATAGATTTATTATGAAATGTCTTGGACCAACATGCTTTCTCTCTTCAATCTGCACAATTGATACGAACACGAAATTATGATGATGAGATATATAATATCGTTTCTCGTCATCTATGAGGTGCTCCAAATTGGACCTATGTAGAGCAGAATACGCTAGCTGATACTAACTTTTCTGAGCTGGAGATGCCGATTCAAATGATGGAGAATCTAATAATGGTGGAAGATGCGAAAGTGTTGGCGGAGATAGACAAAATAGTGGTAATAGAAGATTCAGAACTAACGGGAATGAAAGAATCAGAACCAATGGAAATGGAAGAATCGGAACCAATGGGAATGGAAGAATTGGAACCAATGGAAGTGGAAGAATCGCCGGAAATGGAAGATGAAACAGACAAATGGTATAAATTTGTACTTTAATTTTTGTTTGAGTTTTTATTATACTAACTTTTTTTTTCAAATTTTAGATTGTGAATTCGTCGATTTTTTTTGGATTTTTTTTGAAAATTATGGGATTTTTTGTGGAATTGTGGATTGAATTTTTTTATTTTCGTAGGAAATTTTTATTAATTTAGTATTATTTCGTATTATTTTCGTATTGTTTACGTATTATTTATGTATTATTTTTGTATTATTGTTGTAGGAAATTTTTATTTTCATATTATTTTAGTATTATTTTCGTAAGAAATTTTTATTATTTTAGTATTATTTTCATATTATTTTCGTATTATTTTTGTAAGAAAATTTTATTATTTTAGTATTATTTCGTATTATTTTCGTATTATTTTAGTATTATTTTAGTATTATTTTAGTATTATTGTTGTAGGAAATTTTTATTATTTTCGTATTATTTTAGTATTATTTTCGTAGGAAATTTTTACTATTTTTGTAGGAAATTTTTGCGATTTAATTGATTTAATTAAAATAATTAGTAAATCAATTGAAATAAAATCAGTTTTAAAACTTAAATTTGCTAAATTTCGTCAAAATTATTATGGTCGATTTTATTTATTTTTGCAAATCAGCAAATTAAATCAATATTGATTTTTAAATGAATAGTCAATTGTTTATGACGAATTTCATTTGCATGGCAGGTTCGAATTTTATTGATATGTACAGCCAATTTTTTTAACTAATTCCTAAACTTTGCCAATTTTTAATTGCGAGTGGCAGGCGTTACAGTGCAAATCGTCCATAAAATTAGTTGCCGATTTTTTTGGTACTGATCGGCTAATGTCAGACCGAATTTCGTCCAACATTTGGCAATTTAAAATTTTGCCAAAATGGACTATTCTGACCAGTGTAATTGATCCATGACATAAACTCCAATATTATACTGATAATGAATTTGAAGAAGACTATATTATTGCATATAAAAATCAAATTAAAGAATTATGGGTAACTAAATATAAACCAGAAAATAATGAAAATAATAATCAAAATATTAATCAAAATTCTCTCGCAGCTCATATGTTTAAGAAGCGAAAAACTTCTTATTCTGATGAACTTGAAGCATATCTTAATGAGCCACCAGCAAATTTTGACATAGATATTTTAGCATTTTGGAAGGTAAATAACAAATACATGATATTATTTATTATATCAGTTATTTGGAAGTTTATATCAAATATTAAATTTTTAATTTTTTTATAGGTTCATGAAAATAAATTTCCAAATTTGTCAAAAATGGCTAGAGATTTTTTAGCAATTCCTGGTATATTTAACTTTAATTATTTAATAATAATTTACAATATAATCATTAATTTGCTATTTTAAATAGATACAAGTGTTCCAGTTGAACGAGTATTTTCCGGTAGTACAGATCTCATTACACAAAGATGATGCAGCTTAGATCCAGAAACAATTTGAAAACTTATGTGTTTAAAAGCATGGATAAAATATAAAAATTCAAATTAGCTTAGTATTTAAAAAATGTATTTTATGGTAAATTATTAGCATTTATCATATAGTTGTATCTTGGTAAATTATTAATTATTTTTTATATACTATATAAACTTCTGCAGCAACTTATAATTGTAAATTAAGAAAAATTCATCCAAATTTTTCTTACGATCACATGATGCTTAATTTCGAAAAGATTTTTTTAAAATAATAAATATACTGTGGCAACAACTTCGCAACTTAATTGTAAATTTCATTTTTATTTTATTTTAGTTTTATTTTTTTTTTATTTTAATTCCCTACTTTTTGTGAATTTTACCTAAGTCTAATTTAAAACTATTAACCTAACTAATCTATTAACCTTTTAAACTACACTATAGATTCAAATAATAATACACGTAAAATAAAAGAAAAAATATTAATTTATCTTCCCTCAGTTTACCTTCTTCATTAATCGTATTATCTTATCCTTTACATATACCTAAGACTGTTCTTGTGACTCTCTCCTCCGATTTCATATCGATACTTTATTACGTGGGAGTTAATTGATTTTCTGATCTCAAATCATTTATAACTTCTACTACTTTTCTACTGATACGTCATCCGCCTTAAAACTTTCCTTTATCTCTATCTTCTCTCAAATTATTCTGTGTTATGAAATTTTCTTGCTCGCAAAGAACAAAATACCTGAAGAAAAAAGGATGAAATTAGCAAAAGAATATGAAAGAAACGGAAAAAACAACAAAAAACTTTTCTAAACATATACCTTTTCGCAAAAAGCAATAAGAACTGAAAACCTAAAGGAGAGAAGAACAAAATTAGCAAGGAATGAAGAATGAAAGAAGCAAAAAGAATGATTCTAACCATTGCCCGCCCATAAAAAACTGCAAAGAACTGAATACCTAAATAAAAAGTGGATGAAATTAGCAAAGGAGAATAAACGAAAAAAAAACAAAAAAAAAGATATACGACTAGTGCTCCTAACAGATCAGTTCAGACCGGATTCAGCTTAAATCTGATCTGATCTGATTTTTATTTTAATAGATCTGATCTGATTTGAATTTGATCAGATCTGGTTCAATTTGATCTGAATCTGGTTCGGATCCATTTGAATAAAAAAAAAAAAAAAAAAAAAAACAAAAAAAAGAAACGAACTTACTATAATTTGTTCTTTTAAATCCTGGTCGTTCATCTTCATCTCATGTCCAGGTTTCCTAAAAAAAAGGGAACGTTAATTATGTTTCTTTAAGTAAAAATAAAAAAAAAATAAAAAAAAAATGAACTTACTATAGTTCATTCTTTTAAATCCTGGTCGTTCCTTCGTCTTACGTCCAGGTTTCCTAAAAAAAAGAAAGGGAACGTTAATTACGTTCCCTTAAGTAAAAAAAAATAAATAAAATAAAAGAAACGAACTTACTACGGTGCAGAACCTCTATAATAGGAACTTAAAAAAATTTAAATAAAATTTGATTCTATGATTGAATTTTAATTTTATAAAAAGAATTAAACTCTATTTGTTAAAAAAAATCGATTTAAAAAATAAAAAAAAGTCTCAATTTTTTAGATTATGTAAGCATCACGTGATACATATATTAGCCAATCAGAAATTAGAATTTTATTAATTATATGATATAAAAATTTATATAATATATTTGTTTATTGTATTTCATTATAAACTGATGATTGATGAATCAGGTACATGATAATGAGATTTATATTTTATTATATGTATTTTTTGATTAAATTAAAGTAAAATTACTTAATTTTTGAATTCTTTTGTTTATAAATTTATCATCTGAACTGACTTTTAAATATCATTATTTATAACATTAAATTAACCTATACTTAAATAATTTTGTTTATTAATTTTTTTTTTTTGCAATATTAGACCTTTTTTTTCTTCTTAGCATATTGAAAAAAAAATCTGAAGTAAAATAATAATTAATATTACATTAAATGTGGCTAAAAAAGATCTGTAATGCAAAAATTAGACTAGTCTCAATTTTAACTAAATTTTGTCAGTATATTTAAATTACAGATTTTTAAACAGCTAAAACTTAGCTAAAATTTAATTTAGAAAAAAAATAACCGATAATTTTTAAAGCTAATGATCATATCTATAAAAATTATCGGTTAAATTTTTTACTTTAATATAAAAAATTTTTTTTTAGAAATTTATAATCAATCAATTGTTACTATACATAAGTAGTTGAGTATAGAGGTTCTGCACTATATAGTTCGTTCTTTTTTTTAAATCCTGGTCATTCAGCTTCGTCTCACGTCCAGGTTTCCTAAAAAAAAATAAAGGGAACGTTAATTACATTCCCTTAAGTAAAAATAAAAAAAATAAAAATAAAAGAAATGAACTTACCATAGTTCGTTCTTTTTTTTAAATCCTGGTCGTTCAGCTTTGTCTCACGTCCAGGTTTCCTAAAAAAAAAGAAAGGGAATGTTAATTAGTACGTTCCTTTAAGTAAAAATAAAAAAAAAAACTTAAAAAAAAA